TAATTTTAAATGAGTGGCAACTCTTATTTTCAACCATTAAAACTTAAAATTTCAAATTTAATTTATTTATTAAGTTTGTCTAGGGCACAAGTTAAGAGTGCAATTATTTTACCCTTTTTATGTTAATTATTATTAAAAAATACAAAAGTTGTTATTGATTACATTACTAGTGTCACACAGATTATTTTAATTAGATAGTTATTTAAATAAAGATTAATTTTTATTTTTTAATAGTAATTAATGAGAAAAATATATAATAATTAGATGCTTAAAGGGCATAGATTAAAAAAATTGTTATTTATTTTTGAAATTTTAAGTGGAATGTCAACAACTTGTTAATGAGAAACTTGAGTTGGAGTGTTATACTCTCTATTTTCAGCTTATGTGCTGCCTCATTTTCTTCTCCATTTTGTCTCCTATTTGAAGCATGAAACAAATAATAATAATAATAATAATAATAATAATAATAATAGGGATTTATGTTTTAAAATTTGATTATATATTAAAGGGATCATGATTGGTGCACATCACCATCCATTACCTTTTGCTACACACTAAATAAAATATAAATATTTTACAATTTTAATAATAATAATAATAATAGAGATTTATGTTTTACAGTCTAATTATATATTAGAAGAATCATGATTGGCGCACATCGTTGTCCATCACCTTCCATTACACACTAAATAAATTATAAATATTTTACAATTTGGATTTAGTTGAAGAATGGCTTAATCTTGCTACCATCTATGTAAGAAGCAAACAGCCAATAATTTTGTGTCACTAAACTTCTCCATCTTCTTCAACTCTAGAGATTGCTAGGTTTCTTAATCTTGCTACCATTAATGTAAGAAGCAAACATTTAGCCAAAAAAAGTGCTGGATGTTGATTTATGCTGCCAACAATCCATCTTCTTCGGACCACCCGTTAGTCATTTCCTGCAACTCACAAAGAATCAAAAAGACATTTCTGGCAACTCACAAAGAATCAAAAAGACATCCATCAACCCACAAGAAATCAGAAAAAATGCAAAATAAAATCAAAAAAATTTGCCAAGCCTATCCATATTCCATTTTAGTTGGGATGGAGGAAACCCAAGGTTAAATTGGTCCTCCATTGGCTTTAATTACAATTTGCCATTTTGTTTTGCCATTGGCTCTCCTCCTCAAAACCCAAATCAAAATCCCTAAAACCCAAGCCTCTTTCTTCCTAGATCTAAAATGAATGTGGAGGGTTGGGGATTTTCTCTTTTTGTTCTTCAATCAAATTTTACTTAAATCCATCCCTTTCTATCATTTTGTTTTACCGTGCTAGCTCTCCCTCTCAAAACCTAGATATGAAAATCCCCAAAGAAAACCCACAAAACCCAATAGCCCCCAACCTTACCTTTTTTGACACGGGTGAGGATGGAGTGAAGTCGAAAATAGGGTTGGTGGCAGATCTTGGGTGGTGTGACAATTTTGAAGAAAATGGAGGTCAAGATAGAGTAATTGGAGAAAATGAAGGTTGGAGAAAATGGAGGTCGATGTCGTTTTGGAGAAAATCGATGTTAGGGAAAGTCAATCATAGAAAATGGAGGCTAGCGCCATTTTGATCTTGGGTTCAAGGTGAAAGCCATCTACTAGGAATTTGGAAGGAACAAATGAGGGTGTTGGTTTGGAGTGTAATCCTGTCATTTTCCATATTAAAAATGTAGTTTGTCTTATAAAATTAAAGTTATTTTAGTAAATTTATAAGACAAACTATACTTTTAATGTACAATATGTTTTATAAAACACTTTTTCGATAATAATAATAATAATAATAATAATAAAAGAAAAATAATTGATTCACATTGGGTTCAACAAATTTTTTGACGTTCATCCTAATTTAGTTATTAAAATATAATATAAAAACAATCAATCTATGCATTCTATTTGCATGGTTGTATTTTTAAGTTTGTTAGTCTTTAATTTTAGACAAAAAAGTGATGATTTTTTAATGAATATATTAAATTAAAATGTGTACCAATCAATATTCAATAATCTTCTCTTTTTGGTTTTCAAGACTTTAATAGAATAGGTTATTCCTTGTTCTCTTCTTCCCACAATCTCTTCCTTTATTCCCCTCGTAATCTTGTTGTGTACTATACTAGCTTTTTTTTTCATTCAACAGATGATTATTCGTGCTGGCCGCTTTATAATTATAAGTCAGATGATTTTAGTAGCGCGTGAATTGGTATGTATTTTCATTTTTATTGGACGTCATACATCTTGATCATTCCTTGTTCTTTTCTTCCCCAATCTCTTCCAATATTCGATACTACATGAATTGACTAAGTGTAGTACTTCTAGTAAATATTAAGATTGCTTGAATATTATTAATGAATTATGATTGCTAAATAAGAGAAGAGGAGCTGATTTAGATGCTTTTTATTTTTTTGGGTGATGGTTTGATATAGATTTGAAATGGCAACAAATGGAGCTTCCAATGCAATTGTTCCATATCTTCTCGAACTTGATAAGTATGAACATTGGACAATTTTCCTTAAAAACTATCTGTTGACTCAAGATCTTTGGGACGTGATCGAAAAGGGTACTGATGCTCTTCCTTCTTCAGACAAGGTTGATCAGACGAAAAAGAATGCTGCAGCTCTACATGCAATTCACATTACATGTTCACCATATGTTTTTGCTTTAACAAAGGATATCAGTTCTGCCAAAGATGCTTGGAACAAATTGGCTGAAATGCATCAACTACGGCAATCCCATTCCCACCCTAAATCATCAACAAGTTCAGGTATTCCATCTCTTTCGCTTTAAACATATAGATTTTGAATACATTATTTGCTTATATCATATCTTAACTACATATAAACTATTGTAAGAACACAATTCTTCATAAAGTTTTAAATAAATATTTATTAGACTTTAAATTAAATTAATCAAATTAAATTAATTAAATTTTTACGCTTAAATCTTTTTTTCATATCTACCTTTTAAATCTTTTTGAATTAATAAATTTAAAATTACTAATTTATATCTATATCTATCTATATATTTATCTTTATATCTATGTATATAATGCTACCCTAGCATTAATTAAATACTAATTTTTGTCATTTTATTTTAATTATCATAAAAAAATTAAAAAAAATATTATTATTTTTACATAAAAATAATAAAAATATAATAAATGTGATTAATAATTTTGTTCAACTTTTTGTTTTTTTTTTTTCAAAATTTTTAATTATTTTCTCATTAGTATTTTTAATTACATGCATAATGCATTAAAACAAAGGAAGAGAAATAGAAACCCAATACTTATGAAGAATAAGAACGAATTATAGAATGACAATGTATAATAATCATTTGTGCAATATTGAAGAAATTAAATGACCCAAACTTATTTTTATTGTTGCTAAAGTTATGAGACTTTTTTTTTAACCTTTTTTTTTTTACATCAAAAATCTTATGTTAATGAATTAAAGAAAGATAGATGTGAGTAAGCATGCAAAGTAAAAGGTCATGAATATTCAAAATTCAATTATGATTCATTTAAATAATGAAAAATGTAACCTCAATTGAAATTATTATATTAAAATTGATAATGAAACATCATGAGGCATATAATTAATAATGTAAAATATAAACAATAAATATTATATTATTTAAACATTAATTTCAAAAGTAACGATAAAGAAAAAAACTAAAACAATTTACTAATAATTTGAATATGTTATATCTTTATATTAATGAATGAGATAATATGCAAAAGATTTAGGTGAATTTAAAGATTAAACATGAAGTGCCGTTGTTATTATTATTTAATATTATTATTATTTCTTAACTCAAAGATAAAAGTACAAGTGAGTATGAAAGTCAAAAATTTTGAACGTACAAAAATTCTTTAAAGAAAAATGTAATCTGAATTGTAATTATTATATTAGAATTTGTTATTGAAGATCAAAAGGCAACTTGATGCAATTGATAATTATTGTTTTATTTACAACATCAACTACTAATAACATAGAAACACTAATAGTATGTTTGGTTTGAGGGGATGGGAGGGGAGGGGTGGATTTTTTTATCGATCAAATTATAACGTTTGTAAATATTGCAATTTGATAAGATAAAAAAATCTTTACCTCCCTTTGCCTCTCATCCATTCCTCTCAACCCAACCATACTATAAAACTTCAAATCCCAATCAAATAATAAAGATTTTTACAGCTAAAAATATTCCATTCCCTACAATGAACCACTAAAAATTGAAAAAAAAGAAGAAGAGAGAGATAAAACCAAAATGACAAGAATTAATGTTCTAAAATCAAAATAGTCTCAAACTTAATTTGATCAATTGAAAGAATTTTAAAACTTCAATGTACAATATATTAGAGCCCTTTTTTGAAACTTGATTGCACAAAAAGTGTAGTTTGGGTTGTAAAAATATAAAATTACCTTAAGACAAAAGATATATTTTGGTGCAAGATGAATTCAAAAACATGTTTTCTAATATGTAATGCAAAAACTTCTGACACTTATGTCATCTAATCTAACTAAAAAATACAACTTATATTTATTTAAAATAACTTTATCTTAAAAATAATATCAAAAGAAAATCATAAAACATAGATTTAAATTTTTTTTAAAAAAAATCAAATGTTGTGCAATGCATGGGTTACAATAACTAAATAAGAAATTAATAAGTGTGTTATTTAATTTTATTTGCTATTTGATCATAATTCTAAAGAAATTAAAATGTAAGATATGAAGGAATTTATATTTTTATTTACCTTCAGTTCTCTTTAATTGAAAAAAAAAAGAAAAAGAAAATACTGCGTGAATCCTTAGTTGAGATAATAGTAAAAAAAAGAAAAAGATTTGTTTGAATTATGGTATAAAAATTAATATTGAATGTTTTTTGAAATTTCTTAATATTTTTTCTTTTTAACATGACTGTATATAACTTTTTGAAGAAGTATTTTTTTCATTTACCAAAAGTAATTTTAAACCCAATCTTAATCACTTAATTAAAATTTTTTTACTAAAAAATCCTTATAAAAGTCAAGAGTTGATAACAAATAATATAGCATGTAGGTTTTAATATAATTAAATAATAGAAGAATAACTCGTGCAATGTACAGACGAAAAAATACTAATTATCAAAAATAACACTCTAAAATATATTTATAGTTAATTATTATTATTATAAAAATTTATAATTACTAAAAATCTTTAAAAACAATAAAGACGAACCAGCGCGCATAAGATCTAGTTCATCTTAAAATAGCAATATAACAAGCTAAACAACTTTTGCAGTGTCACTTAGCAGCACAGAAAGGCCTACGGCCAGCCAGTTGGAGTGCGCAATCAACGAAGGAGATTGGAATACCGTAGAAAAGATTTTCCAAGAGAATTCATATCCGATGAGTCGGATAATTAATGACAGCAAGCAAACTGCTCTTCATGTTGCAGTTTTAGCTGGTGCTGTAGAGATTGCTGGGGAATTGATCCAGAGAATGTCAGAAACAGACTTGCAAATACAAGATATGAGTGGTTCTACGGCTCTTTCCTTTGCTGCTCGTAATGGGAAGAAGATAGCAAAATGCTTGGTTAAAAAGAACCCGAATTTAGTAACTATTCCAGATGAGGAAGAATATATCCCCATTGTAAGGGCATGTGCTTTTGGCAATAAGAATTTGACCGAGTATCTGTATTCTAAGACCCCTAAAGAATTCCTAAGCCCAGATGGTGGCAAAAATGGGCATTGTCTCCTCAATTATACCATAACCGGCCAAATGTTCGGTAAAAATTAGCGAAACTTCATTCATCCCAAGTTCATTGGAATTCCTGCCATATACGATACATGATCTGCTTGCCAGTGTGGTTTTGTCTAATAAATACTTTTGTGTTGAGAAAGCAGATATCTCATTGGATTTACTTCGGCATTATCCAAGCTTGGCTGTCAACAATAGCACTAGCCAGGAAGACTCTCCAATTCTAACATTGTCCAAAGAATCGTCTGCATTCTTTAGTGGAAGTGGTCTTGGATTTTGGCGACATTTAATTTATCATAGTAAGAATTAGCGCCAGTTTCTATTTTATTAATTTTCAATTTCTTTTTTATTAATTTTCAATTTCTTTGTTCGGCATTGTTATTTTATTTCATTTTTAATCCATTGTTATTGAAGGTATAAAGATAAACAAACACAGTTTCTCTAATGATCGAATTCCTGTTTCTCACCAAGACCAGAATGAAGGGAAAAACATCAAAATGCAAGGTATTTACATTCAATGCAACTTATCAAAGAAACCCTTTTAGAAAAAGAGAAAAACTATTATAGTTTGGTGCTATTTTTTCTCCATGCAGCGTTTTTTGGACTTCGTGCATTGGACTTAATGCTTCTAAAGTTCCCTGGTATGCTGCTTCAACTCAACTAAACCTCTATTTTCCCTGGCTCTAGTATAATTTTTAACTAATCTTTTTTCACTTATGTTGTTGATTCTTGACAGAGGAATCAAGCAAATTTATGATTTGAAGTTGATCCATACACGTTCGCGTGAGGTTCTAAAATGTATGTGTAAACACGTAACAACTTTGGATCTCAAAGAAAGTGCAGCAGGTCAAGTGTTTGATGCTTTATTTCAAGCTACCAAGAATGGCATGAAGGAGTTTGTGGATGAAATGTGGAAAGCCAAACCACATATAATTTATAGAGTTGATGAAAATTTAAGAAGCATTTTCATGTGTGCAATTGAATATCGTCAAGAAAAAATTTTCAGCTTCTTTCGTGATGCATGGAAGTACCGTTTTAATTGTACTGATAATCGGGCTAATAATTGCTTACATATAGCAGGGATGTTAGACCCTGAATTTCAACTAGCTCACATTTCTGGAGCAGCCTTGCAAATGCAAAGAGAACTACAGTAGTTCAAGGTCACTCCTATCTCTCGCTTCATATATACATATATATATATATATATATTTACTTAAATCATATTATCAGCTTATGTTTAATTACATTAGTATGATGAAATGAATGTAATGTAGGAGATTCAAAGCATTGTTCCAAAGTGTTGTAAAAATGCTAGAAATGAAGATGGTGAAACTCCTAGTGATGTATTTACAAAGAACCACAAGGAATTGGCAAAACAAGGGGAGAAATGGATGAAAGCTACAGCGAGTTCTTCTAGTGTTGTTAGCTCTCTCACCATTATCATCATGTTTTCTGCAATTTTTACTGTTCCTGGTGGCAACAAGCAGGAGACTGGCTTTCCCATTTTCTTGGCTAGAAAATCGTTTATGGTATTCTCGATATCAGATACGATTTCCCTCTTCACTGCATCCATCTCAGTGTTGATGTTTCTGGGAATCCTCACATCACGTTATGCCGAGAAAGACTTTTACAAGTCCTTACCCCGGAAGTTGATTTTGGGCCTTTCAACACTCATCATCTCTATAACAAGAATGATGGTAACATTTTCCTCTGCTCTTGTAATTATGTTACAAGGCCGTTGGTTGGTAATTCTTCCAATAATTCTGCTAGCTGCTCTTGCTGTCACTCTTTTTATGTTGCTGCAATTTCCCACTCCTTGTTGAAATTTTTATTTCAACCTATAGACCAGGAATCCTTGTCAAGACAAAGAAGCTGTGGCCTTAGCACAATAAATGTGTTCAACTTTCTCATCATCATGTAATCTTCGAACTTATATTAGTAATAAATTAATGCTCCTAATCATGCACTGTATGTTTCAGAATTCATTTCTCCATAAATTCAAACTTTGAGTTCACATTCACAAGTACAGATCACAACCATCTGCACCAGGAAAAATGCAGCAAGCATGCAGAAGCTACTCTGCAGCACCACTAGGCCAGTGCAATTTTGTCAAATGGCCACACAATTAAGTCAGCAAAAATGGGCATTCAAGTCTATAAAAATGACTAACTCCCAACTGCATTTTGCTTTTTATTTATTACCTTAGTTGGGTTTTGCCTATATACAGCCATGTTCCCTTCATTGTATACATCAAGTTTTAATAAAAAATTTCAGTTTATAATCCTCTCAATTTAGTGAGTTTTTTTAAGAGTGAATTCTCTCAGTTTATCTTTATATCTTATATCTTACCAACCTAAGTGGTGTTTTAGGCACTTGAATTCATCGTAGTGGATTTTAAATCACTATTGGAAAATGAGATATATTCGACATAATTTTTTGTAGAATTTTTTGTCAAATATAGAGGTCTTTCTGTCGATTATGTCTTAATCGACAGACATAATCGACAGCCATGTATGTCGTATAAAATGCAGTCAATAATCAGTATATTCGATAGAAATTTTAACTGTCGAATATACTAGTTTGAATCGACAGATACTTTCTGTCGAATATACTTATTATCGACAGAATTTCGTAACCATCTTTATAATTTTAACAGGTTATATTCGACAGCCATTAGCTGTCGATTAAACCAGTATATTCGACAGCTAATGGCTATCGATTTTTTTTTTTTTTTGATGTCATATTCGACAGCATATTGCTGTCGAATATACTTGCTAGAAATATAAAAAAAAATTGAAAAATCAACAAAATCTGGAATTAATAATCTTATATTATTTTCTGTTAATTTTATATAAAAAATCAGTAAAACAAACACAATTATCAAATTTCCCATCAATATATTTATCAAACAATTTTAACAATAATATAAAAAGTAATAGATAATCATAAATAAAATTAAAATTAGCATTAACTGTAATTATTTGAAAATAAGTTACTGTTTCTGCCAAAAATAACAAAAAAAATTTATATCAAGTAATAAGAATTTCAAAAAGAAAAGAAGATAAAAAGTTTAAATTACAAAATTTACCTCACATTACTTCATAATCAATGTATAAAAATTTGAAATAAAAAAAAGAACTATTACTATGTTAAATAATAAAAATTCAACAAAAAAGAGAGAAGAGTGAAAAGAAAGAAGATGATTAAAAGTAATTTATGAAAATATAAAGAGGAGAATGTAAAAGAAGAAAGTAAAAAGAAAATAAAAGGAGAAGAAACTTAAAAAGAGATGTTATCTGTGGAAAAAAGAGAACAAGAAGGAGAAGGAGAAGGGAAGAGGCAAGAAAATGAAAATTAGAAGAGAATAAGATGGTTTGATGTCAGAGTGTTATTTATATGTCAAACATATTCGACAGAAATACTGTCGAATATGTTTAAAAATTAAAAAACCGAAAAATTCAATTTTTTTCGGTGTGAAGCGCGGGGCAGCGTTATATTTGACAGCCATTGGCTGTCGAATAAACTCACAGTTTTTTTTTTTGTTTGGCCGAGAAATTCAATTTTCTTTTAGTTGGGGGTTGTGGGGTTATTGGTTGTCGAATATACTGAGGTTTTTTTT